TTGAGATTAAGTGTACTGAAAAGAAACGGGTCGAAATGAATAAAGTGGCAAACAAACGCAAAAACAGAGAGGTTAAATACGACGCAACAAGGGAATAAGCGAAAAATAACGGACATCGAAAGACTTGGATTAAGTAGGACAAATGAGTGTCATGACGATATGCTCTATGAACCAAACTTTTATTGTTAGCAAAGAGAACTTATCCATGAATATACATATTACTGTTTATTCATCCCTAATATCACCAAAATAATAGCACTGTGGAATGCAAACTTAGAGACTAGTCCATTTTCAAGGCCAACTCGACGATTAATTAGAATGTATAGAAATTAATCTCCTTATTTTGATACTACATGAGCCAATGTTAAAGGAAATTAAACACCAAGCGTCACGTTTTTTGTTGCACATTCTGGAAAACAACAACAGACATGGACTATAATAATAGTATATCCTTAAATAACAACATGTTACATGAGACATTTCAGTTTACAGGCAAGATTAAATTGTTACAAATTGCTACAAGCCTTACTTTAGTAAGTTACTCGACTAGGTTGATATGTTATAAGGCACGTTTGTCATGGAAACAAGGGATACATTTTTGCACATTAGAATATTAACGTTAGTAGGAATTCAATGTTTTAACGCCTCATGAATGTTGCGTTGCATCAAACAACTGCTGGTCGTGAAAAATGCAAGTCATGTCCAGAAAAGTGATGCGTTTACTACACAACCAATCAGTCAAAAACGTCAACTTCAACGTATTTCATTTTGTGTTCCCGGATGAATATCGGAAGTAATAATGACGGAACGGGACGAAGCCATATGTTCCATTTATGTTTTCGTTGGTAGGTGCTGAAAAAGAGAGGGAAAAAAGGAAGGGAGAAAAACAGATCAGACATTTTTTATGATAGGCAAAGTTCGTCCATTTATGACAGAATAATTAAGGTATGACCACCTAGACTTATTTTCATTTATCAGATCAGTTGGTATGTTTCAACATGCTAAAGAATACAGACCGAAGAATGGCGTTGAATGGACAAGGTATTGTAATGCAAAAGAGCGGATTGTGTGTATCCTTAAGATTTAGTAGGTAAAATACAGCATAGTTGCTCAGTTTTGCTTGTAATAATAATAATAATAAAACTAATCCCAAAATTGTGGATTTGTCATGTGACTACCTAATTTATGAGATCTTATATGGAAGTTCCATCATTGTCTACATGGAGTCGTCCTATCGTAAGAGTGAGCAATATAACGTCTGATGTTTCAGAAGGACACATTTGGGCTGGAGATAGCATAATATATTTAATGTGAATAAAGACAAGTTATAAAGAATGGCTACGTCTGCGGAGCTCAGCTATGCCATCCGATCGAACGAGTAAATGACCTTCTCCAAGTGTTACACGTTCTACTTCATACGTCGAGGGTTAGGAACCAGTGCCACAACAATTACCATTATGAACGATGGAGATTATTTTAATAGTAACGAAAGTTACTGAGAACTAGAAAAGACAGTAACTAACACACAACTCTTCATTTTAATCTTCAATGATAAGACCCGAAGCGAAGCAGTAGAGTATGAGATGAGTTTGTATATAATGAAGATGAGTTCCAAATGAAATTATCTCATTCATACATATAATAACCGACATAACCTTGACTCATATAGAAAAGTTGTTACAATGGAGATTGTGAAAATCAATCAGAATGTAAAAGAGGTCATGCAGCAATACAATTAGAAAAATCGACTTTATGGGTGCCACCACAAGAAGTTACACTTATACTCTTATTCTAAAGTTTCGCTGCCGTCTATCTACTGCTTGTAATCATACCTAAATCATCGAAAATATAGTTCAGGAGAATTTCGAGCTTCTCAACAGTACAGAATGTCCTCATGAAGACATATTAGGCTCTATATTAAAACTATTAATCATTCTAATATAAATGAATGACATTCCAAAATAGATTACTTCCTAAACTATTGCCTTTCGAGAGAAATCCATGATTACGATCAAAGAATAACTCTTCTGTGGGATCTAGCGAGATTCAACGTTCCAAACGTTAACTGCAGAATAATTTTAATGATTCAAAGGTATAAGTTTATGGAGCTGCTCGTGACATGTACAGTTCGAATAACTTCCAAGAGAATTCCCAGGAGTCTTCCAAGCAGAGACATAAACAGTACTGTTGATTCAGGATAATATTTCGCTACAACTTAATAATATTTCTTTTGTCTCCTGAATATCCCTCGATTTTTACCTGGTTTTATCGGTCATCCACTTTTGCCGGATACGGTAGCACGCCATAAGAAAGCTTCTTCTCTTCCATTCACAACGTTTTGAATGTGAAGATGCCACAGGTATTCAGAGTTTGACAACGCTTTAACCAGTAACACCTATATGAAGCGTACTCACCAAGTGAAATCAAAAGACAGAATCGAGGAAGTTCGAAGATATATCTGATATGCTATCGATATATCGAGAATCGTCTGATCTAATCAGGCTAGCGATTGCAGGGGTGTTGAGCACGGCGTTCCCACTCGTGATCTGGTGCGGATGCATGACCGAGCGCCTTCAGCTAGGTGGGTCCATTAAACATGCAGTCATCATCCGATGTCGAAAACTTACAGAGCTATTTATTTTGGGGATTTATTTACCGCTACAAATGATTTCGCGTATTGGATGGTCTGGTACTATGACCTTGTACGTGAGCGCAACTTTGAGTGTATGCCTTTATATCATCCCAATGGTGATGAGATTTAGTATGCATATACTAGCTTGAGTATCTTATATGTCTTATTACATATTTAAATATGCTTACCGCGAAAAGTGACATCATAACTTGTGAACAACCATATGTTCTGTCATAAGGTGTGCACCAATGAAGTGCTTTTGATGTAGTACCAAGTAGTGGTTGACCACTTCAAGTATCGTAACACATGACGAGATAAAACGGCGAGACTATGATTCAAGGACGAACCAATCACATTCAAGGACTACACAAATTCCCTGGTTTCCGTTTTCATGCTCCTCTGTAAAAGACTGACCCAATTTTATCGATAGGATTACTCGGCGAGACTCTAATTTAAGGACGACCTTTAGGTTAGGTAAGGGTTAGGATGCTAACATACGAGTCTTTAAATCATGTAAAAGAAGAATATCCACTGTAATTCATTACTTTCTTTTAATATATTTTTACTTTATGCTGTCTTCTTATTGACTAATAATTGAAATTGCTCAAACGCTTCTGATTGGCTCGTCCCTAAATTAGAGTCTCGCCGTACACTTAAACGTAATTATTTGTTTCTTTTAATGAGACATGACGGATGCGTCTATAGTAGTTGCTGAAATGCTAGCTTAAAGCCTACTACAGAAAGATTTTCTACATAGCGCTGAGCTGTTTGCTTAACTTTAGCATAACCTCTATGCTCATTCTTAATCCGCCTCTTATAAGAGTCGAATGAGAAGTTTTATTGCTGATCTAAAGATCAATCCAAATTAGCGTCATCAACAAGATGCTTTGACGAATGTACAGCATAAACTAAGTGTTCGGGTCCGTAGCACTATTCATCTCATATCTAGCTCAATCTATTTCGCTGCTGTGTAATTTAGGATGAGCTAATAGATAGTTCTTCGCGGCAGTTCGTTCTGTTTTAATTTACGGCAGCGAAACATGGCCCTTAAGAGTAGAAGACACCCGTAAGCTACTAGTATTTGACCACAGATGCCTTAGAAATATTGCTGGCATCTGCTGAGATCACCGGGTAAGTAATAGTGAGGTTAGACGCAGGGTATTAGGGAATGATGGTAAATCAGTTGATGAGGTTATGAATCTTCATCGACTGAGATGGTTGGGCCACGTGTTACGTATGCCTGAACACCGATTACCACGACGTGCAATGCTAGCCGGTGTAGGGGATGGTTGGAAGAAAGTTAGGGGCGGCCAAACCAAAACGTGGCATCAGTGCCTGAAGTCACTAACTTGTAGTCTGAGCCATGTTGGTAGATGCAGACTACTTGGTTGGGGTCCGCGTGACTTTCGTAACCAATGGTTGGAGACTCTTGGTGACATGGCTCAGAATCGATCACAATGGCGTCGGTGTATACACTCCCTGTCTTCCCTTAAACTAAGAGATTAAAATCACTTCATATCTTTCTTTCTACGAACTAATTCTTTCTTCCTATACTATATCCTTATTGCAATCCTCCTATATATTACCACCTCTGAATTAACTACTTTTATGAATCCGGTGTTCATCTTGCTGTGCTAATGAGGTATGGCAACCTGGACCGATGCACATATGTGCCTGGTCCTACGTTGTAGCTGACTGACTGACTGAATAGATAGTTCATTAATGCTAAGCTTGTCGAAAGTAAGTACAGCGGTAGTGGATTTTTTTTTCCATACAAACATAAAGTTTAATGTATGGTTTTTACGCTGAATGTTTGGAAGAATATATTCAATGCAACACGAGGTTGATTTATTTATGTCCGCGACAATAGTTTTGTACATGTTTCTAAGTCTTTACGAAAAATTTAGCCGTAGTTTGGTTGGTTTCTCCAACACACCTAAGTATATCAAGGGCATTGAATCAAGAGGGAGTGGTGAATAGGTTGAATCTGTTGATGTGAATTGTCATCAGTTCACCTTTTGAAAATCATCCTTCAAGGTGACGTCCCATTAGTACACACCTATCACAGCCTACTTTTCTATTGGGATTCACTGTATATCTAACATCTGAATGAGCAGGTGCATCACAAGCGACGGCAACTAGTTTAATGGCTGTATGCTTGTTGAACCTAGCATTATGCAACCACAAGTCACCCATTTCTTTTGTCTCGGAAGTTACGTCAGCAGGTATTTCATCCAGCACTTAGTTGGTTAGTTTGATGCTAACAAAACTATCATTTATTATTTTTAGCCTAATACTTTAAATCCTGATGCCACACAGCAGTATAATTTTCTGAACTAGACCCTACTGCTGTTTTTACATACTTGCAATGTCTGGATATACGCAAAGTGAAAATTTAAACCGTGGCTCCGAGACAATGGTTGATCGTTATTGTAACTCTTTAAATATTCTTAAAGAAAAGGTTATGGTAAGTTGGTTGGTCGATTGTCATGTCACCATTTTACTTTTCTCAACAGAGTCTATTAGAACAATATCATTCAATCATTATGCAGAAAATGGAATGTGATTTAGGAAAGTAGGTTTGTACTTTGGTAATCTTTGACCTTATGTTGATGAGATAAATGTGACTTTAACCTTAAAATATGAATAGTTTACTCAGTATGATCAGCATATTCTAAGGATTCAGAATTTCATGCATAAAAAGTATACCAAAACAAAATAAGCTGCGGTATATCATCCTGTTCATTTATGTAAGCTCTCTAGATTATTTTGCCCTGTTATACACTGGTTATTCGAAAGCTGATCCAAACATAGTACTCAGCTTCATCTAGCCAGATAAATGCAGTGTAAATCCTATAGGTAGTCGTACCAATATACTGTTCGATCGTATAATGAGGACACTGCCAACTAATTCACTATACTAAGTAATACTTGGGTTCCCATGGTGCGTTCCTAGTGTAGGTAGAAAACGGATGCATACGTGCCAAGTTCTACACTGATAGTGATTGACTGGAAGTTAAAGTCTAGTAAAACATAGTAATCTAATTCTAAGTTAAATATACTAAATTGTCATTTCCATTTTTGTTACACCTGACCAAATTCCAGTTTTGTTATCATCTGTTTCTGTTGAATCATATAACCTGTCATTTCACAGGTAGTTCACAATACTAGTTGCTTTGCTTTTCAAGTCTAAACTATCCTTAACAAGAGAGTTTCCATCGTCTTATACTTTCTGTTTGACTCATTCGAGTATCTCAACCGTAGCTGCTACCTTGATGTTGTCTTCGGGCTTGGTTATTGTGACTGCCTGGCCGAGTCATACTGCTTGGAATGCTTATTTTTTTAGGTTCTACCATACTGGGTAGGTTGGTTGGAGGACGATAAGATTAAAACCGGGAACCTAAGATCCGAGGGCCAATTCATAATGGTGACTGCACAGGAATGTGATAGCAATAAGGTGTTTCCTTCAGACAACCAAGATTCGAAACGGCCATGCCTTCTCACATCATAAGGAAGTGTCTAGAGAAGGCCAATCATAGTTATTGCACTTCATCGTACACCATTGATATCCACTTCTAGACTAGATCTTTTGAAAGAGCCCTAAGTCATCGAGAGCTTTTCACAAAAAGGCCGTGAATGACTGGCCCTAAGTAGCTGTTCCCCAGGCTCTGTAGTCACACTCTCAGGTCTTCCCGCCACTCGTAACCAAGTTTCATTTTCAGCCCCCCCCAATGCCCTCTCACAGTGTAATTTATTTATTTATTTATTTCAACACATAGATATTGGTACAAGGAGGCACCAAATACATATGCGCCACACAAATCTCATTCGATATGTGTGAGGGCTGTAATACTGCCCGGGTGCCCAAACCGAACCAGGTGGTTTTCTTAGAGGGCCACACCCCGAGCCTTCGACCTGAAGGTCTGATCTACAAGGCAGTGGAGCATCGTAAGGAGATGCAGTCCCATGGAAGCCGATGACCAACGATTGGTTCATACGCCATTTGTTCCCGTAGGATACTGGGGCCCATGTGCACCATTGGTTTGGAATCCGGTTAAAGCGCCGGACATTCGCTTTTTGTCCTCTCATTTTCGTAAACAACACCCTCGCCACGAGAAGGCAATGAGTAGGACTTCCCTGGCAGAGGCTATATACGCGTGGCCATGTGAGAGCATTTCGAGAGGGAGAGCGGACTCTCCCCACTCTCAGCAGTACCAGGGCATTTGGGGGCTCTCACAGTGTAAGCAACAGGAAAGTGTCCATGCTTAAACGCATCCTGCTATTTTTTTAATATTGAGAGTAAAATATGATTGGTCACTGAACTTGGACAAACAGGCACATACTACTGATTGTTAAATGTGATTTCCTTTCCTGTCATGATTTCTACTCCAAACTTATTAAGACTGACTGCTTGTAATGGTGTTGAATAAGGTATTATCTAGTCTATACTTTGGCTCTCTATTGTGGGTCGTTAATCCTGGATCTGATATAACGTGACTAGTCTTGTTGTCATATTAACGTGTCATTGTAGTACACATGAGAGAGAAAAAATATTTTCGACAATCCGTTCTACCAAATATTTTGCACTGAGATATGTACACATAATAAGTGGTTATCGAACGTTGAAAGTTAGTTTCAGATGAAGTTATCTGAATCGAATGTCCTATGTTGTGCAAAAGTTTATTTGACGATTTTAATAAGCCAATAAGTATATTCATCGGTAAGTGTAAATATCCTACCGAATCCCTTGTGTTCGAAAAAAGAAAAGAAACTATAAAAGTGTACAAGGACATTGACTAGGTAACTTGGAAATTACCCAGCAAAGTTTGTTTTAGAAATACCCACAACATACAATGATAAACAAAGTGTATACTATGACAGTACAAGGTGTTGATTTGTTTAAATATGCTTTAATTAAGTTACTTTTATGCTTATTTTGCAACAACAATGTCCACTGACACTTGATTAAATCATTTTTTGCGAATGGTTTAGCTACAGCTAGGCTTATCACATAAAATCACGCTAAAAAATATCTGTAAGTCTTCCTAAACTTGGAGCTCAGGTTCTACAAATTTGTAATTTACTCGGATATTTTCATTAGAATGAATATCAAGTTATGGTTTGAACTTACTGAAATGATGTACTTAAAACCATTAAATGAAACTTCTTAAACTGTTTACTATAATCTACGTCATACTGTGTTGTTAGCACACAATTTCTTGCCCCTCTTGCATCAACGAGCAAAATGCTGCGTTTTTTGTTGATGTATGACTTTTTCGCACTACAAATCTTGACACGTTCATGACAGCATATGAAAAATTCCTCAAAAATCCTTTAATATCACCTATAAATGTAGGTGCTTCATTGTCATTTACCAAAATACATCACCTCTTTTGCATACCTAGTCAAATTTCCACTTTATAGTCTCTAGAGTTCGATATAGTACGATTCTGGCTAAATAGTTTCCTATTATGGTTAATTACATAATTGCCATGTAAGGGTTAACTACAATATACAGCTGTTAGGGCTAAATTCAGTAAAGTGAATTTTAAGGTTTTGCACAATGGTTGGGAGTCTAGACTTGTGGTTTTACTAAATATTTTATAATAATTAATCCCAGGAGTGATGTCATTTAGCTAGTAAACTTAATGAGGAAAGCTGGGATATACGTTGTCTTCTATAATGATAATTACTTGGATCGGTTTTATTTTTTTATACGTATGATCTGCGTGGTGTTTTTACCCTTCTATCCTAGTTTCTGTTTTACGGAAAATTCATTCTTAATCTTAATACCAACTTTTAAGAAAGTGATTTTTGTTTAAAATATTTTGACAAGTTTCATTATATTTTTATAGCTTACTCTCCTACGATGCTGATGGATTCCAAAGTCATTTGGCAGATGTCTTTTCTCAGATGAATGATGTTGAAGTCCATCTAAACAACTTGGAAGCTTGGGCTGGACTTCCTCCTGAATGCTTCACTTCAGCTAGTTTGAACTATGGTATCCCAGATCCGGATCAAGTATCTCATGAAGCCCAAACCCTAGTTGAGGCTATCCGACATTTACAAGCTGAATTGCGTGCTATGACTACAAAAAGTCAAACAAACAGCGCACTCGCCACAGGGAATGTGCCATCAGTTCCTCCAGCTGAGAAAAGTGATAATAACCAGGATCGCACTACATCTTCAATTCTGAATACAGTTGCAAAACAAAGTCCTCTTCCATTAACGGCTATAAAATCTGAGATTACTCCTTATTCTATCCAGTCTAATCCATGTATATCACCATCTGCTGGTGATCCGAATCAAGGATATGTAGATACATTGCCACAAATACCATCTTTTCCATCAAATGAAGAAGGACGTAGTTGCCATCACACCGGCAGTAGACCATACAATTCCAATACTAATACAGCTACCCGTTCACCTAGTATCGATCGACGTCAACAATCTACTATTTCGACTGACGTTTACCGCGTGACATCTGGACACCATTCTTCATTTCCTTCACCTATCCCACCACAACAATATGTTTCTGGTCAATACAATCAGTTCCCTCCTAGCTCTGTTGAAACCGTATCTTCAAATCGTATGGCTTCTGAAACGTATTCGCAATACACATCACCAGGGTGTTTAACACGAACAACTGAACAGTACACACCAAGACCTCACTAATATTAATTTTGTTACTTTAAACTGGGTAACTTTTACAATCATGATAACATCATACAGGATGACAGTGCTAACTTTTGATCTGTGTACAAAATTTGATCTCCTGTCAAACGTTTTTATATTTCAACAATAGATAAACGTTTTTTTACTAGTTTCTAGTTTTTGTTGAATGCATTTTTGTTGCTGAGTGGTAGTACAGGCAGCGATATCCACAGAAAACCCATGATGAAAAATTTTGTTTGTTTTGATTGCACTCAAATTATGTTAACTGCTTCTAAGCACATTGTACATTTTTCTACAAAATATGCATAATACACAACCAATAGGCTGGAAAAAGTACTACAAATAATATTAAATGTAGTTTTTCCTGTCGGGGGTGGTTTCTGAACACACAGAATAGTTTTTCATTACTGGGTGGCGAATCGCTAATAATCACTAAAGGTTGAATCCCGCCTGGGGCTTTTCTTGGGTTACTGCTAGTCCTAAACCCGTCCGAGGGAGGAGGTTTGGGTATAAGGTTAACAATCCCACCCTGTATGAAAGGACCTTGATAAAAAAAATACTCTAGTCAGATAAAGTCGTCCTAATCATTTCATGTTAGATTTCTTCGTTTCTCACATCCCAACTTCCATAGAGATCAAACGTATCTTTACTCCCAGTGTGGTTAAAATTACAGGTTGCAGTTTTCCATTAGAATTGTGGTAAGTTATTTTTTAGGACATGTGGTCCATCAGTTGTCTTTTGTTTCTGTTAGTTTTTTCCAGAGAATTCATTAACTCCGAATTGTTGTCACTAACTTTTGATACCTCTAACACCTTATAAATAATCTTAAGATGTAGGATCTAGAAGGTCGGGAGTTGGGATAGTTTAGTTTACTGCATAAGGTAATTGTAATGATGTATAGCTAATGTTACTGATTAAATACTATATTTCAACTCTTGACCATATAATGACCTGTTTGATATGACACTGAGAATTACAGAGTCAGGCTTAGTGAAGTTTTCAGGGCTTTTATGATAGAGTAAATATGTTCTACGGCTTTTATGAATATTACTTTGCAATAACGTCGGTTACACTTCATTTTTAATTATCCTAGTATATCCTTAATATCGCCTCATAAAAATTAACTGATATAGAATTATTTCCGAATATCACTTATAAACGTCCAAACGTGTTGTTACGTGGGGAAAGTAAACTTCAAAAGTGGTTCATTTACTCACCAAGTTTGGAGTTCACAATGAACCATGAAATCCGGTAAGACGAATTTTTTTCAAGTTCCTCTTAATAACCATTAGACTAAACTTAGCTACCAAAAAGTGTTTATTATAGGGATTAAGTAATTATTTATTATAAGTAAAATGTCCCATCTGTGCAAGTTTGTATTTACTTAGTAAGTGAACAATTATTGTGGAGGATAATATTTCTAGAAGCAGACTTGGTTCATCATTATAATAGCCACTTATAGATATCAGAAAAATGAAGAAGGTAGTCGGTTATCTTATTTGATCAGTAGTAGCCGCTAACATTACGCATTACTACGTAGTTACAATGTAAAACAGACAATTTATATTGAAATTGTTAGGATCTTCGAAGCTGTCTATATATATATGAGCAGCAAACTTCTGGCTTTTAAGAAGCTTTAGATTTAACTTAAAACTCTCGTTTGTTATAAATAGAGACGAATAGTGGCTAACAATGGAACCTAGGAGGCGCTTTTCGTCCTACTGGGGACTCGCCAGCCGTAAAAACCTGCTACCAGAGTCGATATTCACTCCGGGACTCGAACCCAACACCGTTCGCCTCAAATGCCATCGCGTTAATCACATAGCTACTGAGTTCAGATGCCCACTGTCTTGTGCAATACGAATGGATTAGACTTCACCCCATTGTACAAGTCACTTATATGATGACGTACTTTTCAAACAACTATTCAGACTATAGGGATATTTCAATCAATTTTAAATTTTGACATCTTATCAGGTAATCTTTGGATTCTAGACATAATATTAAATTATTATCTTTTTAGTTTCAGATATCTCCAAAACTTCACCTTTGTTGGTCAAACAGCTTCCCTCGTTGTGATAGTTTTCTAAGTTGCGTGAGAAAATGTGACAACTTATTCTCAATATCTCTAAGCACTTCAAAATATCCATCAAACAACCAAAAGCATTGGAACAAACTTGGTGTGAATCCTGATCAAAAACCAGGATGTTCTACTACTTATTGCGAGGTTGAAACAGGAGTGAGGAGTTTAATACGTGTGCCTAATCATCGGATTGCAGGTAAGACCAGTGGGAGTTCTTCAGAGGCGTATGTACAACCAAAACCACTCAATATACAATATAATCCACGTATGTATGATGGTGGCTTGCTCCCAAGATTAAATTTTACTGACAAACAAGTTGTTCTACCTGAGCATAAACCACGAGACTTTGGTCCCCACATCGAGCACATTTTGGTCAAAATGACTACATTGGTATGTTTACCATTTTTTCCTACATATAACGTAGATTGTTGCATCTACTCACCATTTTCTTTGTATTTCATAACAAAACAAACTTCACTCTGATTCGTCACTGTTGTCACACAGATCTGTATAACCTAGTTTTATGGAAATTGAAAATATCTTCAAGGTAATGAAATTTTCAAGAAGACGAAGGTATTAAACCAAAAGTTTACAATTTATAGACTCAATAGTATGAGATACTCGCTTGCGATACCAGACAATGGTCTCATCGATCATAACTTGTTTGGTGTCGACGAATTTTGAATACTGGATTTAGACGCAAAAAGTTTATTTTGATCAGGCTTTAACAGAGCCTTACGGTTTTGTGCTTACTTTATAATGCTTTTAAGGTGAAACGTTAACAAGTCCCAGGATCATGTTATTTCTTGTTGCCTAGTGACGTTCAATCGTTTTTTAGTTTTGTGGTGTGTATAATCTTTACAGAAATATTAACATCCACGTCGTTTAACGAATGTTTTGTGAACAGTTATTCTTGTATAAATGTGTACATGTATTTAATTGTGAGGGATTGACACAGACAAACAGTTATATCAAAGCTGCACACTAACTCATCAAAATCGTCAAACTTCATAACACTTCAGAAGATCTGGAGTCTTATATTGAGAGCTCAGTAATTATTAGGGCTAATAGGATATTCAGTATTTGGAAATGAAAGCATGAATATATCTGCATCATTTTGATGTTTATTTTTTAAAACTATATCCTAGTCCTCAACCAGAGAACCATGATCGAAAATTCTTCATTTCTATAAACGACTAGAATAAGCAATCAGTGACCGATGACATGTTTTGGCATGACAACACTTAACTTTTTAACAGATTAATCCTGCTTTACCCAGAATCACACAGAATGAACAGTGACTATGCATACGTAACACAACCTCTCTCACATACAAATTCCTGAACCCTATCATCTACTTTACTCCACTTCGCTTAAAACTTTACGTATTACTAATATCTCAACAAATGAACTTAGGCTCCATTCCGTTACTCACTGATGTATAAGCCTAATTTCTGAATGTTCAACAATGTGGTTCGTATTTCTGCTATCATTTTTGTGATTTCGCTTTGTTTTAAAAGTTCATTATTAACAAGCCGACACATGTAATAATTTTGATTAACTAAAGTAGCAACTCAATTACCAAGTACGTAATTATGTACTAGACTTTAGACGTCAACCTTTTGGGCATGGGAATTAATAATATTAGCTAGCTATCCGAACCGGAGTAGAGTTTAAAACTGCAGTCTATTGTTTACAAGACTTAACGTCTTGTAATTATTACTCCACTGAATCACAATAAACTGTAAAATTACTGGTATGTTTTACTCAGTCTTATCAAATACTTCGTATATATTTCCAAATGATTACACTAGTTTTCGTATTTATTAAATGGCATTGTTACTAGTAGGTTTATTTTCCTCATATTTTAGATATTCTAGGTGACGGAAAAATAAAACCACGTGATTTTTATACTGGACCTCCATGGGTATTAGGTGCACGAAATGAATATCAACGTGTATGCTCGCGACTTAACAATCCAGCTATCGTTGCATGGATGGAAGAGTTTGAACCATCTAAATTGACAGCTGAGTATAAATTGCAAAGATACTTGTTCAAGAAAGTGAACAAGCGTAAAAATATCAAATTTGAACGTTATCGTGATTCGCCCTAAGTTGTTTTGTCACTGATTCGACAATGTTTTGTTTTTTCTGCTGTATACTTGTATATATGCATTAAATAAATAAATAAATCATGTATGATTTCATTTCACACTTCTTTGGGTAGAAGGAAGATCCAGTTGGGTCATAGTACCTCGTACAGTAATCCCACAGTAAATAGAAAGTTACACAAATTACGCAATAGTTATTTTAAGTAACAGACCGTTCACTTTTCTTGCTTCATTGGTAAAAAGATTGACCTCGAAAAGCTACCTTGTTTAGGCCGTCTCATAACATTTCATTCTCTCTAGTATTTTTCCGGTTACCAATGATAATCCTTAAAATGTCTGTTGAAATATATAGTAGTGAGTTGGTTGGTTATAGATTTCGTGACAAATAATGCATGTGTACACAGATTGTATTCTTGTTGATAGCTCCTATAACTCGTTAATCTTCAGTACGGACCGAATACTGCTTACCAGAAATACATATCTACTTTTTCAATTGATTCATTAGAACGCTGAGTTTGTAATTAAATTTTTAACTTACTATCCTGTACTCACTCTCTTTACATAACTTAGTCCTTCCTGTATTGGATTGGTCCAAATACTAATACTGTCAATTGTAATGTTCTTGACAGTCTCTAAAGGATATGATGTTGAATCTTGAGATGTACATACTTTTAAACAAATTTTGTTGACAAGACCAAACAGACACACAGTTCTGACATATTAAATGAACTTCACAAGCAGATACACTATGATTTCATTCGCGGAAAAATCCTATATGCTTCCTAATCAGTGTTTATTTAAATTATATTTGCTCCTACAGAGTCAGTTACCTTTTACATATTTTGAAGACTGTCCAAATTTTCAAGAATAACACCAAACAAGATAACTAAACCGAAAAGTACATTTAGGGGAAGTAAATTATATATTTAACGTAAATTCGTCATTCTTATTTACGAAATCCATAGCTAACTGCCAAATGGTGTTTGGTCTTTTCCAAAACCTAGCTAGTTTCGAAAAAAATCCTAAAGTTAAAATATAATGGTAATTGCGATACATCATTTTTGGATTGATAACTGTAGAGCCTAGAGGAAAGTTGTTTTAAATATTATTCATTTTGTAATATTTACTTCACAGTGCTCTGTTAAGATTCCATTCCTGCATTAAAATCTCACAATTAAGGATAAGACTTAACAAAAATATGTGGCTTTTAAAATTGCTCATCATAATGAGGATTCTGTGTACTGTCATGTATTTGTTTAATGGTAGAATAACCACTTAGAGATATCCATGATTTTCCATAACTCTATGCCTTATTTTACAAAACAAGCGTAATTACTGGAGATGTGTTTTTTTTGTCTTATTTATGCTTTTGAATGTTTGTGTGGAACTTGGTGAAAACTTAAAATTATGGCCACGAGGAGAATAAGTTAAGGCTCCACAAAATAGTACATCAGTTTCACGTTTCTACATCCCAATAGTATAATAAGAAAAAAGATATCTAAATATAACTGGACAAAATAAAGGTATATATGAACGAGAAGTTAGACTTTTTAGAAAAGAATATAAAATTAATTCATTAGCACCATTTTCATAAGTTTCCCTTCACTTTTCTGACCACCGATATATAAAACCTCATCTGGAAGATTTTGTTTTTTATTTGATAATGGAGAAGACTTATAGCTAGAGATGAAGATATTCGGGGTGTTGTGATCTCTAACCTGAATGGTTTGATTGTAAAGCTTTCGTCGCTCTTCTAAACAACATCTCCAGCACGTGCTCCAAAGAAAAGTAGTTCATAGGTTGTACTATTAACCACTGACATATTTTGAACTCTACCTAATTCAGCTTGGCATTCCCGTAGTATCGACAGTTTTCATAGCCAACCACACGGACCTGTTGTTGATAGTCACGCTAACAGAATCTTTAACAGTAACCCTGTTTAAATCTACATGTCAAAGGCCAGTAAGTCCATCTATTGATGCCAAGTCAAATTAATCACTCAAGATTTAACCAATTTATTGTCAAACGAATAAGTATAGTACTTTTTGGTGACACTTGACATTAATAACTACCGATTAAATCTCAATGAATTCCCTTCACTTTGACTTGTTCCATATCTGTTGAGTAGTAGATCAGATAAACCTATATACGTTTCCACTTAGTTTATTGGAAAACCCATTGAGAAATGGAATCAAGGCGAATCAAAGCTCAAAACTAAAACACCAATGCTTTTCTCTAGAATTCGCTAAAGTCATTAAGTCCAATGTTCCAAAATACCTACGCCACGCTCAAATATATATCCATATGCCACAACATTATTCCCATGATGCTGCCGCCTGAATAACAATTGTTCAACATTGAGATTTATTGACCGTTGTTAACTCTAGAATTTGTAAAAACTGCTTGCACCAAAATCTGAGTGACCAAGGTGATGTTATGACGTTTTCAAAGATGTTGCAGATTAAAGTAAGCCCATGTGGTATTCGCTTCAACAAGACTGGTATAGTCTTTGAGGCTAACATCAGCACCAACGTAACAACTGAGGTAGAAGACTACCACTAGCGGCTTGCTATCGAAAGTGAACACAGATACAGTTTTCTTTAAGTTTTCACGAGTTAGACTTTTCTCGCACATCAATGTTGTCTGTATTGGAAGTGCGTACTGGATGGAAATCGTTTATATTTCTAAAAAAGCTGTAAATGTCGGCAACCGTTATTTGACTATCTAAAAACATGGTCCTACTGAAAACTCAACTATGCCTCGACATTGGATTTATGCATTCAAATGCACTGAATTGCGAAACTCATAAGGACCACAGTTCAATCTATTTTTTATTGTATGTAAACTATAATCCTTCTACATGTAGATAAGGATAACTGAAAAATATGGGGTTTTTAATAAACATGGATATTTCTAATTGAAATAAGTATCCACGAAACTTAAATTAGAGACGAGATTAATATGCCTTGGTGTATTACGAAATAATGCAAAGTCATTTTTCTCACAGTTTGGTCCATTGTTTAACTATTCTATCTCATCTTTTATATTGTATACATTGAACAATATCAGGTCTTCCACCACTTATCTCTTTCAACTTATGCTTCCTTCGAGTTTCCTGGGTGTAAGCGAATGAACTATAGAATCTGTTGAACTTTCTGATCACTTTAATTTCATATCCTTTTACATGTATTGTCATTTAAAAAAGGATTTCCTTATATAGAAACCAGAATCAAACGTCTTTTATTCTCGTTTGTTGAAAATCAACCATTTTCAGTATAATAAGCAAAGATGGTTGGTGGCTAGCAGTCCTAAACATCAATGGGAAGATTCAAATAAACAACACCAAATGTATTCCCAGTATATTTTTATAGCATTGAGACATATTTGAGGAAAACCAATCACATTTTCATTTGTCTTGTTGGGTGAAATCCTAGTTCTTCAGGTTAGTCACTTTGTGACCTTGATATATTAGGAAGGCACTGGTTAAATGGTTAGAAATCCGTATTAATGAATCTATGCCTGTCTACCTAATCTTTCACTCCGCTTTTGAATTGTGCTAAAGGAATCGTAACACAGATTATCCTTTACCCAATCATATATTCGATTAGGCAGTAAGTAACAAAACACGAAGTTAATATTTCTATTAACCTGTAACTTTGTCTGTATATACACGTATATAATCATTTAGACCACAGATGTTCAAATCATCTCCACACTATTTTACTGCATGAATATACAACTTTGTTTATCTAGTGACGTGCATGTATGCATTTGTGCTGTCCCATTATATTGATTGGACTAAAAAATGTTATAGAAAAGATGGAAATGTTCTAATATTATTCATAAGTATAAAATATTCTGGGGATTTTCTTTTTTGAAAGATTCTTATGAGTTTAACTTGTAATATTCGTAATTTAGCTGATCAAGTTAAGCATAAATTAATTGGTGAACGTAGGAGATCATCAAGTTCACATGAGTCAGATAATTCTGGGGAAATAAGTGGTAAACATGGAAGACGTATCACTATTCAAAAACCTCACCAATATACCATCCAATCTGAGCAAAAAGATCAACAACTACATCGAACAACAACGACGAATACAGAAGTATCATCACAAAAACACAAGATACATCAACAGAGCAATTTATTGCATGACAGTAATGATAATAATAATTCCCTACCATCTGATCTAAACAACAGGTCAATACCACTTGAAACAAATAATACAACTGATAAACGATTACAAAAACAGCAATGTCACTTGATAAAATCGATGTGTTATTGTCAAGTTAACTCAACATGTCCAAATCAAACAAACTGCACAATATCAAATACCAATAACATGCAGTCTATATCTCCTTCATCATGTATGCATAATACACAAAAATTACAAAATATACCTACTCATAAAATATGTAAACAAATTACTCCTACGTCTAATCCATCACCTATTTTACAAGATTGTTCAGAAAATGAAACAGATAATAATATTGTATCAGAAACATCAATACAACATCATTGTTGTAATCAAACTCCTAAATATTATCAGCAACATCATTCTAAACAACGTGTATATGTTTCAAATAATGAACATTCAAGGCATGATATAACTCGGTATGCAGATAATAATATTTTAAAATTATCAGATACATTTATTTTAATTCATATTGAATTTAAATATGTATTCACTAATAATTTTAAGTCTAATTTCACAATGTTATTTTGTCTTAAAGATTGATGGATAAAGTTTCAATTTGAGATACAAAAAAGTTGAACTTTCAAATCTAGTTTGTTGACTCTTGAATGTTTGATTAACCAAGGTATTCTTTTTGAAATAGCAACGTAGTATCAAAAGTTAAGGTTATTCAAATCACCGTATCAAATGATTGTTTGACTCTGTTCACAACCGGTATATCTTAATGATTTAACTTAAGATGTAATCCAATACTACTAATCGGTTATTTATTTCTAGCTGGAATGATCAATTAATGAATATGGGAAA